TACTGTCCAAGTACTACTAAGGAAGCTATGAGGAGATGACTGGTTCGACTCCAGTAGTGGGCATTTCTTTTTGATGTTTTTGTCAATTCTTATCCTTATTTTTGAATCTTAGTTTATTTAATTTTTAAGGTAATCAAGATGTCATTGTGCTTACGTTAATTACTAAGGCCAGATTGTACATATGTATAGTGTAGCCTAGGATTCTGGATTGTGATTTTTAAAAGGACAGGAAGCATTCGATTCTCCTAATTGTGAGATATCATCAATTGGATTAACTATCTCTTTTCTTATGTGTAAAAGCGCATCGAACTCAACAGTAATGACAGTGACATACAATTCGGTCCAAAAAACAACAACGTATCTAACTGTGCCAATTATCTGCAAACTGAAACTGAATTTCCATGCTTCTTATAAGCGTCATTAGGGGGGGTACAAGTACAATTTTCTACATCCTTCAAACGAAGAGCAAAAGCGAGCTCCAATAGTTGCAAAAGTGTCATTCTGTCTGTCCAATTCCTTCGTTCCAACTCATAAGACCGTCAAGGTCCATCCAACATAACATGAATACGCATAGATGCGTGTGTGAGTGGTCAGTCGGGTGCTATTGACAGGTGGTGATATTACGAACAAATCTTCGTCTTTGCCAGCACAGGCATAATATCCGAACAGAATAAGTGTAGTGGCCATCAATTGTTGATGTGCGAGTGCAAACGAGGCAACAGTGAGTTGATTAGTTTCATAACAGTGGCGATGGAGTCCAAGGTTTCTTTCAGTGTCGCGAAGAGAGGCGATTATGCCATCCTCCGCTAGTGGTAGACTGGTTGTAGTCAAACATGCTGGGCGGCATATTCTCCGTTGAGTGTCCCGTATGGCCGGCCATGGAGGATGCTGGGTCCGGGGGCATCGGGTCGAATGAGCTGCCAGATTCTCTCTCATCGAAGTGGTACATATTATTCTTGTGTTGCTTCCTTGGAGTCTCACGTCGGCCGGATCGATCGGGTCGTTGCCAGGTATCATGGTACGACGGTGGCATCCAGGTGCCGGCACGATCTCCATTCTTCTGCTTGAAGGTTCCTACGCACATAGTTAGTTATCCATTCCAGTTCGCGGGAAATCAATATCATTTTGCCATGAACTTACGGAATGTTCTCGTCGACCCATTTTGGTCGACATCCTCTCCCGTCTCCGAGGTTTCAGCTAGTTGGTAAGTAACGGTTGAAGTATCAGCAGTGGCGCCATTCTGCGCTTCACTGGAACGAAAAGACTCTACAGAGATCTCAGTGCGAGTCACAAATGTGGGAATAAAAAAGGAGGAGGTACGAGATTCACCCCAGTTACCACCTGCCAAGTCGTCAAAGAGTTTACCGGCGGATGCCAGTTCTTCCTCGGCCAAGTTTCGCGCGCTATTTTCGGCCCAGTCCTCGTCTTCCTCACCCCCTCCCCAGTAGTCGTCCGTGAAAACCGGGATAGAGGCCGCGTTGTCATACGGTAAGTCCGTCGAAGTCGGTGTCGACGGCCATGTGGGAGTATCCGGTGTGTCCGGCTCGGCTTCCGTTGTATGGCCTACATGTCCTTGGAACTCTTGGCGTGCTTCAGGTTTGTCTTGATAGCGACCAATTCGTTCACGACTAGAATCTGCATGCCAACGAAGTCCTGGACTCCCATCGGGTTGCCCAAAGTCGGCCATCGCGCCGAAATTTGGTCGCTCTCGATCATGGTTGTAGGTCTTGGGTCCTCCGTCGTGAACAGGCTTGTTTTCTTTAGCCGAATAATAACCCTCGCGGGCTGGCCACTGAGCACGAGGATTGTTGTCGTCGAGGTTAGAGTAGTTGTTCTTGAACTCCTGAACTTCCTTGAGAAAGCTGAGACGCTCGAAATCATCATCATCATCTATATTCTTATACATCTTGTCACGAGCCTCACTCTCTAAAGAAGTAGCTTCCGATAACGTGGGAATACCCCCTGCGGAAACCTTGGGAACAGTCTCGGAAACTGCTTTGGGAACATTCGGTCGTGGAACTCTAGTGCGTCTCTTTGGTGAGGCAGTAGCTTGAGATGAGACCTCAATACCACTACCATAGACTCTGCCGGAGCCTTCACGTTGACCAAGTCCTGAGGTCGTCTCTGCTGATCCCTTTGGTTCGCGATTGGCTGTCGTGTTAGAACTCTTAGCACGAGCAGCATTCCTCAGCGTAGATCTGCTATCCTCGTCCAGGGGACTCTCTTGACGACTCCAAGAAGTCTTAAGTTTAGAAGTAGATGGATTGATATTGACCTTGTATCGGGGTTCCTTATCAGATGATACCGCACGCTTGTTTCGATGGTGATATTCCCCAGGACTTGGGATAGGAATAGGTGCTAAGACGCTAAAATCCGACTCTTCTCCTGAGGATACTGACAAGGGCAGCTCCGTATAATCCGCTCGAGTGGCTCTTTGGGATGGGGTCCTTGGTGCTAGATTAAGGCGTGCCGGTCTTCTCTTCAGCTTACGGCTACGCCAGGCCTTTGCATCCATTGGCTTATCTTCACAGATCGTGTCAGCCGTCTCGTAGCTAGTGTGACGTAGAGATTCACGGGTATCCTATAGGCTAGCATCAGCATTGCAATTGCTCTCAGGGTAAATTTCCCAACTTACGTTACTCATAAGAGCGTCATCTGTAGTATCCTTGTCCTTGAGAGCATGGTGTAGGCATTTGCGGCAATAGTCTCGGGTCGGTATTTCGCCTCTCTTCAACGGATGTGCTCGTTGATATCCCCTAGACCGCTTCTTCCCGCAAGCTGCGCAAATATGGACATGCTGTATATACTTGCTAATTTCCTCTATTGATATTGCTCCCTTCTCTTTCTTGTCTTCGTCAATTCTTGTTCCTTGTGCTTGAGATTTCATAGTCGCACTATAATGTTCCTCGAACTCCTTAGCTTCGCTAGGGATGAACCTTGCAGTGCTGCTTGAGGCTGCTTTGCTGCTCTCGTCGGGCGACAAATTTGCCGGGGGTGTTGTAGGTGTTGCTGGTGAAAGCGGAAAAGCAGGAAAGGGGATCTGCACGGATCCGGAGATTGGGAAAGCAGATGACTTAGGTTCTGGATACAAAGCAGTATACTGATGAGGTTGAAAATGCGAATGCAATGCCGTAGACTGAGGAGCCATGTATACAGGGGGTTGTACATATTGGGTGGTTGGTGCCACACCAGGAGACTGTCTCTGTCTCTGTCTCTGTCCCAGACTTCGAAGGCCGCCGTAGTCAGGGAGTTGCGTAGTAGCATATACTCGAAGGTTAGTAGGTAGAGCAGCCGAAGGACCTTGGGCAGGCTCCATAGTCAGTGTGCCATTATCATTAGCCTTCATGTTCCAGAATGAAGTTGGCGATAGCGGAGAAACAGGTGTATGTAGTGAAGACCACATAGGGATTTGCTGTGTTGGAAGACTAGAGTTCGCAGGCATCTGGTTTGGATCTCTTACTCCGGACACTTTGTCGTGGTATGTGTTACCATTGCGCGGGCTCTCTTCGACACGATAGATACGTTCGGGAGTAGAAATTGAAGCAGATCGAAGACTCCTTTTACGCACTGTTCCAGCTGGGGAGGCTCCGTATCCGCGAGCTTGGTTGTTGTTATTGAATGAAGTTTGTGGCGTGTGGGGCTGGCTTGGAGTTGAAGGTGAAGCAAAGCCTGAGCCTTGAGAATAGAAGCTCCTGTGGCGACGAGCCCTCTTCTCTACATCTGCGCGAGATGAGCTACCGATGTTTTGGCCAAAAAGGTCGAATCCAAAGTCCTCTGGCAGCCTGTCATGCTTCTTGCGAGCCAACGCAGGCTTTCCACCCTTGGTCTTGGTGATATAGATGCCACTGGATCTAGGCAGGCAGGCTTCATCGTCAACGTTGTTGTATCCTTGCTGCGATCCTAACAGCTCTGACTGAGAGCTGCTGCCCCTATTGCCGTGTCAGTAAGAGTTTTGTGATAGATGTGATGTGAAAAAGTGGTATGTCAGAATGCATTTATAAACAAAATCTTGGTATTAATAACATTTGCGCGTCAGGCTGAGATGACAGGCCGATATTGAGTTCTAAGACCGGTTCCTGACCATTTCAAATGATGTCCTGATGATTTCTGAGACTTGTTTTGGACTTTGAGATAATCCGGAGATCGTCTATCAGAACTACCCAGGCGCGGTCGTGTCAAGAAGACGAAATAATAAAATACTTACTTAGAAGGGTGTTGCCCTCCAGGCGAAAACACCTTGAACGAGGCCATAGGTGCAGGTAGTATTAAAGCCCAATCGGCGTATTACCAGTACAAACCCATCTAAGCAGACGGCGACGTGCAAAAAAAGGTTGGCAAGTATGTCGGAATCGGGCAAAGGGTACGATAGCCGTCAAATAGACATGTTGTGGCGCGTGTGTGTAGAAAGGTAACAAAATAACGGTGCGGGTCAAGGCAACAAGGTTGGAGATAAAAGCTGGGGTTTTGCCGCCGTTACCTATTTCACTTCCAGTTTCCTCGGCAACAAAGGCAATTAAATGTTTCACCTTAGGCGGACAAATACGATTAACTCTGTACGTATCACCTTAAGTTTATCTCATTATCGCTACTTCCTTTAGGGCAGCTACATACAAGGGTACCTGTGCTTATCGTCACCGTCTCTCCTTCGCTGCTGCCTTGTAACTTCGACGCGTCGGTTTCTGGATGAAAACGCGCAGGTACTTACCTTAGGTACCTACATATATCCTTCATACATGTACATCCTAATATATAAGCCGAGACTGCACAGCTTTAGTCAACTCAAAGCTGCTAAGAACTTTCCTAATAAATAATTGTTATTATTAAAATATTCGTCAAGCAGCACTCCCCAAATGGAGGGACCTGGACCATGTAGATATACCTAATTTAACACATACCATCCTTCTAGGAGTCCCGTGCTGTATAAGCTCCTTATAAGCTTCCCAAGGTATATAAAGTATGCGTGTACATGTCCCTCTATGCCCTTTCCCGTCACCACATACCCATATGGATCATACCTACACGGACGATGACACTATAAATACTCTCCCATTTCCAAATTAAGGGGGCCCCTTACTGTTAGAGGTGCATAAACTTGGCACTATAGTTTTAGCTAGGACTTCTATAAGTGCGGAGAACGACATCGGGGTATAGCCTCTTGTATCTCACATATTCAGCTATGTCGAGACCGTATATTCCTTCATTAGCGAGATGCAGCAGAGAATTCCAAGAGCGCCGAGGTGAGTATACGCTAGTTATATCCACTGCTCTGTATATACGATGATGGTATAGTATGCAGTGCTTGAGGCATCGCTCTCACCGTTGAGGGAGTTGAGCTGGCTGGTGAAGACATGCGAGAAGCACGCGAAGCAAGGATCCTCACCGCACCAGCACGTTTATCTTCGAAAACCCGACTGCGCTCTACTTCTTCGTCCATGCTTTGCATCCTCATTTCCTGATCGCGCTGTGCCTCGGCTTTGATTCTATCATAGTGAAGCGTAGTCACGGCTTTAGGCCAGAGACGATCAAGTTTGCGAGCCTGGGGCTCGGGCACGCATGCCGGAGGCTCATTTACCGGTCTAAGACCTGATGACCCTCCCCAGTAGCATTCGAATGTAACTTTTGCCTGACTGTGAATGTTGTCGGATCCCCAGAAGACTATAGTGTCCCCGTGGTACAGCTTCATCCAGTATCTACAAGCGGCCGTGCTATCCTTTGGCTCATTGGCCTGCAAAGGACAGTTATTGATTCGTATCCCGTTCGTTGCCTTAGTTGATATATAAAATGCGAATGAATCTGGTTCAGGCGAAGCTCGCATCGTACGGTTATTCGCTGGCCGAGCCGGTACCCACGGACGGAAATCGCCCAAAGAAGCAGCATAGCCGTCTCTCCATAACATGACTCTGAATGCATTCTTAGGAACCTTAGACTCAACGACTGGCTCGTAAACAACCGTGTTGTTAGGATCCCGTCCCCACGACATCACGGGGTCGTTTAGACGGATTGATATTCCTGACACTAATGATCCTTCGGTCGAGTAAAAGGCCGCGACCGCTTGCGGTAGCTCGGGGGCTTGCGTTGGTGGTATGGTTTGAGTTTCTGGTGGTAACGTATCTGGAATCGACTCAGAATCATCATCGACAGGAGCCGAAGCCTCGTGGGACATGGGCGAGCCATGCATCTCATCAGCAAACCGGTTATCCCGCTTAAGTAGAGCTGGTCGTAATACCAGAACCCTTCCTGTATCCTTGGGAGGGTTCCGGTTGCGCGTAGGTGGGAAGTGCCTCATTGCGAGGTCCCAAAGGCGCGATTTCCTCGGCCCAAACTCTTCATTCCTCTTCTGAGCAGCGAGCTCGAATGCGTTGAATTGGAGATGAGTCATCTCAGGATAATCTAAATGCCATGTGTGCTTGTTTGAACTATCCCAAAATGTTGTCTTAGGTAGTGGATAGTCAATTTGGCGACCCGACTCGTTCTTCACAACCTGGGGGACGCAAGCGAGCAAGCGGAGCTCGTCCTCTTCAGTCTCGGATGTATCAATATCACCTAAAGATTTGAGTCTCTTGAATGATGGCTTTATCCAAGTCTCGCTTGCCTCATATTCGTCACTAGTATCGTATGCGGGTTTTCTTTTACTCGTAGTTAAGTCGGCAGTTCTAGACCGGAGGTTTGGGTCACCATTGGCCAGCGACTTCACGTTCAAGTTTCCAAGAATCGAAGAGGCACCACCAAGGCTTTGGGAATGTGCACCTAGTACAATACTTTCCGTGCTGCTCCGCAGCGGGTCTCTGCTGGGTGACAGGACACCGTTACTTATGCGACCTTTTTGCCTCGGGGTAGAAAGATTCTCGGATTCCTCGAAACTATCGAGAATCTCGGTCTCTAGCGCATCAGGTTCTCTAAAATTCGTGTCCGAGACTGGGAGATTTAGATGATCCTCTCCGATGGCACCAGAACTACCCAATACCGAATTATTCACTTCCCCAAACAGTCGATTCGGGCGTTGTTGCCCAAATGTATAATTTTCTTTTTCGGATTCGGATTCGACAGAGAAATCAGGCTCTGGTTCCCTAAAGGCATCGTCGGTGAACTGAGCCGTTTGTCTATCGTCGAGACTAAGCTGCGAAGCCGCCTGTCCTAAGTCCTTGTCGTCGGAGACCACGCTGACGGAGCCTGTTTCCCCTACAATCCATGGATGATTTTGTAGTTCCAGAATAGTTGCCCTGGTTTCTGGTCTTACATGTATCATCCTTAGTAGAAAGTGAATACCATTGCTAGTTATACCAGCCCGTGATAAGGGAGTGATGTTAAGCGGTATCTTAATGATATGGTCGAGCAGCTCCGTGTATGTGACCCCGTTCTTAACAGGAAAAGGCGGACTGCCGGTGAGAGCATAGAATAAAACACCCCCGAGAGACCATATGTCTACTGCGTGGTCGTATCTTTCCCTATCGACCTGTCTCTGATTATTTCTCTGCGTTCGTCTGCCATTATCATCATATGATGAATACTCGCTGTAAACTTCAGGGGCGCAGTACAGAAGTGTTCCACAGAACGTCTTGAGGAAAGTCTGTTCGGTATCAATCATTTTGGACAAGCCAAAATCCGTTAATTTGACTACGAGGGGATTCGTCGAGTGTATTAAAATATTGTCAGGCTTCACGTCGCGGTGAGTAATCTTATTTTCATGAAGATACCCAAGTGCATTAAGCAGCTGTTCGGCCATAATTTTAACGAAAGGCTCTGCTATCGGACCGTGCTCTAGGATATACTTGCCCAGATCACCACCTGGAACAAATTCCATAATGATGAAGAACTGGTGTGTATCCCAATCGAAATGCTCGATATACTGGACAATATTTTCCTTAATTTCAGGTTAGATGGATTGACGAAACCGAGATAGGATGAAAAGAGGTTACTTACGTGGTGAACCTTTTGCATAATCTTCATCTCATTTTCGACTTTCTGATCTAGAACGCCATTCTTCATAAACTTGCGCTTGTCTAGCTCTTTCGCCGCATATGGCGAGCCGTCATATTTTGAAGTAACCTTGTGGACGGTAGCGAAAGCCCCCTTCCCGATGACACCTACGCGCGCATACTTCTCACCACCGCGCCACTCACGGGGCAGGCGCGGATGGCTTTGCGTAGTCTCCCAAGGCTCATCTTTAGTGCCGGTCCTGTTTCGCGGAGGTGGAAAAAGGTTAACCTATTCGGAATTAGTATCGATGTATGTAATATCATTCTATTCGGGGACGCTGTCTTACATGGCCACTTGGTCCGGGGCCTATAGTCCTGTTGGCATCATCATCCTGCCCCTGAGCTCTCCGTAGATAGGCACCGAGTTTCCTTCTATATGCTACATCGTGGTCACCATCGCGACGGGGAATGCGCACGAGGAAGAGAAGATCCTTCGAAGTGTCATGCATAACAATCTTGATGGTCGATCCACTCTCTAGAGTCCTCTTAGTCGGATTGTTCTGACTTGGCTTCTGAGGATCAGCGCGTTTCCGAAGCAATTTGCCGTCTACGACAGTGCCATTTGTCGATTGGTCTTCTAACATGACAGTGCCATACTTATTGGCAAATATGCGAAAATGAATATTGCTAAGCCTCCTGCTCGGGTCGTAGTCAAAGCAAAGATCACACCGCGCTCGATTGCGGCCGAAGGTAAAACCTAGACGCGGATCCTTGAGAACCGATGACAATTTGATCACGAGGGCGTGGTCGCCAATCCCTCGAGTTCGTCCAAAGTCCTGAGCATCGTCTTCTAGGTATAGGTCTGAGTCTATGGCATCAGCGGTGTACCTCCCAGCAGTGTGGTGGGCGTATTCGGACGAGGACGCGATCCTCTGAACCTCGCGGCTGGCGCTGTCGGAATTAGGATATAGTAGACATATTATATCGGATATGTCCTCGTCTGAGAAGCCCGAGTTCTGCTTCCCAAACCTCCTAGGATCTAGGGCATTCTGAGTAGCTACAAATGAAGGAGTTAGAGACTATCGCTAATGATATGTGGCTATACGACAATGTGGAAACTGACCTGGTTGGGTGGCCTGCGAGTCGTCATTCGGGTCCATTGGAAGTATTGAGAATGCGCAGGCGCTGGCCCTCAGGAATGGTTGTTCACACCGACTGCGCGAAACACAGTTCAGGCAGCCGGTTCGCAATTATTACGTTGAAACTCCCAGCCCGAACAACTCGCTCGAAAGCCTTTGTGTATAGCAGGTCGTGTTCATTCAGAGGAAGCTCGATCGCATTTTAGGCGACGAGATTAAATAGGTATTTTTATGGTTGCGCCGTCGGTGGTTATAGATTGCGAGCTAGCTGTGAATCAAAACATTCGACTGTGAACGTTTTACATACAAGTCTAACTCGTTTTAATATGTACACTTGGAGATTTGGATGAGTATGACAAATTGGTTGTAATGGCAACGTTAGCGCTGGTCAGATGAGATGTAAAACAGAACCTCGAGGAAAGGTTTGAGGTAACAGGTATCACAGGGACTCGGTAGAAAGATTTAAGATAAAAGGTCAAAAGTGCACGACAGCCTCAGGCGGATGCACGCGGCAGGTAGCATCAAGTGCGGCTGCCCACTCAACCAGAAGAAGCAGAAGGCAACCCACCTTGAATCCACCTGGCACCCACTTGCCTTGAGGATTTACCCCACAGGGGATTATGTACTATTCTTCTTCTGGAATAGATTATGCAGCCAATCGTTTGTAAAAGTCGGGTAGGCCCGCCAGCGACATCTGCCACTTGATAGTCTGCCACTTTATAATCTGCCACTTGATACCACCTACGCGTCATATTAAAAGTTGATGAAGATGTTGAAGTTTTATAATGCGGGTGTAATATTTCTACCCGTTCCCTCATTGTTATATTGATGCCAACACCCTAAGCTACCTAAGTACCTAAAGCAAACACTTAGATTAGAACTCAACATCTCAGGTACATTCCATGGGATCGTCGAAGTCATACGTCACCTAGTGACATCGATCCAGCTGACTTTATGAGGCAAAGTTAACAAACCCCTGTTCGGGGCATAGGTAGATAATTAAATAATGATATGCTTATTAGTCAAATCGACAAACGTACTCGAAGCCGATCATGGCGTCGGAATCCGTTTTATGCAAGTATTACTATATATGTATAAATTTTTTCCGATCTCCTGTATGTCCCATTATAGGTCAATATTCAAACCATGCATGCTTCTGCCTCAAGAAAAAGATAAATCGCGTTTCCCTAGGAAAGGAAGTAGAAAATCGTAAATCGTAATCCAGCAAAATCAGAAAAAGCCCTTCTTTTTCTTCGGCTTTCTCTCCATGTCCTTTAGAATATCATCAAAAGTGCTTCCTCCTACAGAGCCCTGCCTTGAACTATTCCGCGAATCATGAGGTCCTTGAATAGGGGAACCTGGGAGACCATGTAGATTGCCCGAAGATCTGCTACGACTCATCATAGTACTGACCGGCCGTGGAGCCGGAGACGGGCCTCTAGCACTAGAGATTCGCGACCCCAGCATTGAAAAGTCATCTTCAGGCATCGGGATGGGCTCAAGCCCGAAAGCTACGCTACTTCGGTAGTTAGGATTCCTACCGCCTGGTGAACCAGTTCTCTGCCTAAGTGCCAGACCAGGAGGACCACTTTGGGGAGACTCGCTCCGGTTGACTAGAGGCGGCGGGCTTGCTGAGATACCTGGATCCATATCGGCAAAAACGGACTGTGGCGGTGGCAGTGGTGATAGACTTTCTTGTTGTATCATAGGACCGATGTCTTCTCCAACCTCCCAGCGTTTAGCTACTAGCCAGCAGTGGCTACGGTGGTAGATGCCCTCGATACTAAACTCTACGGCATCGGTTGAAAGCTCAACCAAGCCACCTCCACCGGCCACTTCATACCATCTCTTGCGCACCGCCGGTGCATCTTCTATCCATGGCGCCTGACCCTTTGGTGGCTGACAGAGGAAGTATTCGACGCCTTCCGTGAACTGTAGACCGGGAGCATCCACTACCAGCATCGGAAGCGACTGGATAATAACGTATAGGAATAGCCAGTAGCCAAGACGTTGATCTGCCATTTCCGCAGCCGTTTTGCCTTTTGCTTCTTTGTGTTCAAACTCCTTGAACTCCTTAAGGAACGGGATGTCCAACTTGTATGTCTCGAAGTCGTAGGCCTTGTTCAAGATTAAGAGCGTCTGATATTCCTGCAAGTTATTGCCTAACCGCGCTTGTTCTTTGGCAGAGAGCTCGTAGAAGTTCTCCTGAACACTGGTCATGTCGGGCAACTTAGGAAGATCGAATGGAATTGGAGGGAGTACAGGAGGCGAGGATTGATCAAATTCTGTAAGGACCCTGCGCATAGCTGACAGGTGGGGATTCTTATGACTAGTGGTCTCATCTGCGTTTTGGTCAATTACTCGTGTTGTTAGCGATTCGCGGTCGACGAGAAGGTCGTAGAGCGCGCAGAAGTCCGAGTACATTATCTTCAAAACCTGCCTATTCAAGCCACTCTCGGTAAATGGGTTTTTCTTGCTGCGAGCCTTTGGCGGCCAACTCCCAAAAGTAGATTTGTAATAGTTAAGGGCAAATTGTCTCATGCGGCCGAAAGATCTCCTCCAGGTATGATATTTGACCTCCTTGTATTCTGAACGGGACGTCGAGTTAGCGACACCAGAAAATAAGGCCGGAAATTCGAACGATTCCAGCCTATTATTGACTCCGTTCTGGCGGTTCACTAGTTCTATATATGCGCGTTCTAGTCGTTCGCGAGTGGTAACAGAAACTTGTTCCCATAACGGCGAATTCAAGTCTCTAATTGCTGAGTATTTGCCAACAGCATGAGTAAACGCTTCATTGTAGAGGGCCATTGAGCGCATCCGTTCGCCTAGAATGAGCGATTCTATCGTCTTCTCCCTGCTATGTCTCACATCCGCAAGCCCCATCTGGTCCATGAAAAAGCCAAAACTCATCTCAACAGCATCTCCAAAGGTCGACCCGTCAGCGTTCGTGAACTCGAATTCTTTGAGTAAGCTGGATATGTTGATGAAGACGCTGAAGAGCGTTGGTTGTTCCTTGGTACACACCAGCGGCTGGCCGGTCAAAAACGCGAACATATTTCGAATCGATATCAGTCGCTCCATGTCTGCTTGTGACCTATGGCCTGGATCGGACATAGAAACAGGAAGATAGAGACGCGACTCCCCATACACCTCTGGTTCGGACAATGTGGGTGACTGAACTCTTCTTGTTGCATCATCGACAGACAGACTATCTCGACCGGTAAAACTACGGGTACGACTCCTTCCTGAGCTGGTAGGCGATGTCATCTCGGCTTCCATAAGATCGACGAATACCAGTGAATAATCCACGACAAACGAAGGAACTTTAAAAGAGGCATTTCCGCCATTTCCCTTAGCATCCAGGTAGATCAACACATTTCCATTCTCGTTCCACAACTCTGGGACCTTTTCCCCGTCTGCAAGGAATGATGTATTGTAATCTGTATTCTGCCCAAGTATCCATGCCGTTGAAGTATTAATCGTCTTTGATTGGCTCCGCGAATGCGACCTTGACCTTGCTCCTGGTAGCCAACTTCTTCTCAAGCGCCCTCGCCGTTCCGCTTCTCGCGTCGGACTTTCGCCTCCATTACTCGACCCTGGACGGGACGCGGCTGGTGCGGCTGCGGAGACCGTCAAGTTCCCCGAACCCGACCCCGAACCCGAACCCGGAGCCGGCCTTGTAGCAGGTGGCTGTGCAGACACACTTCGGACCCTGGATTCAGGGGTTGGCGAACCCGGCTGAGGTACCCCTAAATTGGTCTGAGAATTTGATGCCTTATGACTGTTACTTGCAACAGAGCTACTTCGCCGTCTCTGGTCTTTGCTGAGCCGTGGGGATGACTTGGTCTCGAAGAAATGAAAAGTCGATCCCCGTTGAGGAGCGGAAAATGTGTCATCGGCATCAGATGGCGGTGCCTTGTCCGTCACCGGCGCGGGTTTCTGTAACTTGTTCGGAGTAGAACTTGTGGCGTCATTTTCGGAGGAGTCTCTACTGTCGGTTGGAATGGACTGGAGTGTAGCGGTGTTGTCGGAGAGATCATTTGAATTTGATCTTGGAGAACCGTCTCTTGACTCTTCAAGTGACCCTGACCCCAGGGGTAGGCTCGGTAGGCTCGGGGGCCTGTCTTTGACAGGGGACTGATCGGGTAGCGGTTTACGATGAAAAGCTCCCGTAGGAGAGTCTGGAGATTGAGGACTGATTAGTGACGGGAAGAAGGATGACAAGCGGTCGAGCCGCGACCTTGCAGAGAACATTTAGGCTAAGCCTTTAGTGTTCTCAGATTGGTGCGATGAATCAAGGTTTGCCACGATCTCGTGGCTTGAAGGTTCGTCCTTGTTTGGTAGCTTTTGATCTTTATCGCTATCTTCAGAAGGACTGGTGGCTCGAAGGAAGGAGAAATAAGTATAAATGAATCAGAATGCCTGTCCACTCACTTGTAGAAGCCATTGTTTAGTCTGTGAATGAACAAGCACAAGCACAGCCCTTTTCTTCGGCCAGGGTATGCAAAGCCAAGGTAGGTACCCAGGTATCCCAAGGTAATCCGCGGATGGGATGGAAACGGAGTACTTTGTGTCTTAGGTTTCAACCTAGTAGGTACTCTTACTGTACAACAGGTATGGGGATCCACCAGCTAAGATTAATAAGAATATCCGTTCAACAACGGTTTAACGCTCGGAGAAGTAGGGCGCACGGCGGTTCTAAAGTGACGAGTCCCGGATGCGTGGACTCGATAGTGCAGAACGCCTCGCGTCGGTGGATAAATTTGGTTCTGGGGAGGGATTCCCTAGATTGTTTTAGATTTTTTAGATTTTTTAGAATAGATCCAAAAAAAAAAATTGAATTACTATTCAAAGTTAATAATTCCCATCCAAGACAATGAGAAAAGAGTAAGGGTCTGGATGAATGTTATGTAATAATATGCTGTAGCTCATATAAATTTGATACGTAGGATTTTGTTATATATATCTCTAATATCGCCTTCGAGGAAGGTTGAAATACGTTGACACTTGACACGGTACCGCACATGGTTTGGGGAGGGGTGACGTCGGCTGCTTCTGTATGTAGTGGAACCCCGTGCCTAACAAGAGGTAATTACTACCCTGATTTCGTGATTCCTACCTTACCTTAGTGGTACTGCACGAGAGTACGAGGTAGAGATGTACAGAGGTACATTACGAATTTAGTACGTACATGTACCTCACTTATACGGATCTACCTCATGTACCTAACACAAGCGCATGTTGACCACCAATTTTGACTATGTACCAATTTGTCCACCAAACAAGGGCAGACTTATCCCTATTAGTGTAACTAAAGGCGCATATATTTCGGTGTTACGTACAACATTGAATAAGTCCCTCAAAATTTTTATTTGTTGCCTTACGTGTAGCTGCGCACTGCATATAAGGGTACATACATACATGTAGGTACGCATTTTGAGCTGACTCTTCCATCACAAGGTCCTAGAGGTCCTAGAGGCTCAGCTGTATAAATTCGTCACATGTTATTAGGCACCACTTGCAACCAATCTCCCTGACGGGCTGCTTTTGACCCCGGCCCCGACTTCAATGTGGATATGTGTGTGCGAATTCAGCGCAAATGGACGGGGTTCGGTTCGGTTGGACAGGTCTTCTCAACTCTATTGACAAGGACAAACGAATGGTTTGGCGACGGTCTAGAAGTATTTGTACTCCTCCTATCCTCAGCTGAAAGTCCAATGACGTATGTCTACAAGAAAGGTCCTGCAGGGACGGGTTGCTAACGCCAGAGGCTGACGTGAGATTTTAAGGGGTGATTTACGTGGGTGAATAACAACAAAGAAAAAGGACAACACTAGCTACGACTTTGAATTATATACTTACATCTACATTATTGACGATATAACAAAGCAAGTCTTTCGTAAGTTTAAGGTGTTGAGAGTTCAATTCCGCATAAGGCTGCATGTCAGATTGATGTTCAGGAACCATTCCCAGATTTCGGGCCGTGGCGAAAACCTTGATCTGGTACCGTAATCTATTCTTAGCATCGGTAAAGGTATCATAGGGATAATAGATGTAACATAAATACATGCAAATCCCGACGACCACAATGTCATTAACCCCTTACATACCTCCTAAGTCAGCACGTATACCTAATTGGCATTTCCCTCGTAAGGCTATCACAAAGGAGTAAGCGATACGGACATTTGGTAGGCTACACAGGTGACACAACATAACTTACAAACAGACCCATTCGTATTACAACTAGCTGCTCCGATCAGTATACCTAGTAGGGTAGTATGGGTGTACTTCGAATAACGGTTTTAGAAAAGTGCTGAAACACTAATTCCAGCTTACATGAAAACGCCAAGTAAAAAAAAAAATGATCAAAACACATGCCTGTGCGTGCGGCTTTTTCATCTGCTTAAACTACATAGCCTATCAGATTCTCATGGTAGGGTAAAACAGATCTGGTAGAAATGAAGAACTCTATGTTAGCAAGATACAACATTGGATATTTAAGGACGAAACCTTAATGAGTTTAAATTCTTTGTACATTATCAGATAATCGGTACTTCGAATGCCGATTAGATTCTAGATGCTGGATTAGATAAGATTAGATAGATTCCCAAAACTTTCGCATTGCATTGCATTCCAACCTTTAGCCTTCTCCTACCTCGTTAGTTTATGGTGATATAATCACTTCCCATTCGTTCGACCGCTTGACATGTCATGGTTCCGTAACGCAATCCGCAGCATGGTGTCCGAAATAAAGAAGGTTCCCATTCCTCGCAACGGCGTCGACTACCGAGGTAAAATCGTTCTTGCGCCGATGGTACGCTCGGGAGAGCTGCCCTCCCGACTCACGGCTCTACACTACGGCGCTGATTTAGTATGGGGTACGTTTCTCATAATTTCTCTTCGTTAGATTTTCTACGATACGGGTTCAACCCCGCTAACTCGTATTGCGCAGGCCCCGAGACGGTGGATAGATCCCTAATCGGAACGACGAGGCGCTTCAACCCCGAGACCAAAACCATCGAATGGACGAGGAAGCCGTCGCATGGCACCAAATCCCCACTAACCGACATAAAAGATAGCCTAATCTTCCGAATCCACCCAGAGAAGGAAGGCAAGAAACTAATCTTCCAAATCGGCACCTCGAACGCAGACCTAGCCGTCCAAGCAGCGCGGCTCGTAGCCGCCGACGTCGCGGGCATCGACGTGAACGCCGGGTGCCCCAAGCCCTTTAGCACGCACGACGGCATGGGTGCCGCTCTGCTGCGCACCCCCGACAAGCTAGTCGGCATTCTAGAAGCGCTAGTCCAAAACATCACGCCCGAGTTCGAGATCGGGATCAGTGTAAAAATCCGGATCCTAGAGACGGCCGCGGAGACGGAAGCGCTGGTTAGAAGACTTGTCGCGACGGGTATAACAGGGCTAACAGTGCACTGTCGAACGACCCCCATGCGACCCAGGGAGCGCGCCATCCGCGGCCAACTACGCATGGTCGCTGACGTATGCCACGAAGCCGGTGTCGCATGCCTAATGAACGGGGACGTAGAAACCCGAGACCAAGCGCTCTCTCTAATCCGAGAATATGGTGTCGACGGGGCCATGATCGCGACGCAAGCCGAGAAGAACCCCAGCTGCTTCCGGAGCGCAGCAGACGGGGGCATATTACCATGGAACGATGTCGTGGAGCAGTACATCCGATACGCGCTCGAGGTGGAGAACAAATTCGGCAACACCAAGTTTCTACTCTGCCAGCTTGTCCCGGGAAAGCAGCCCGCGTATCGCAATATTAGCACCTGCAAGAGCTACACCAAAGTGTGCGAGATGCTTGGCTACGAACACCTGATGGAGCGAGCCCGCGAGGTCGATATCAGCCTGGACATTGACCCGGACAACGCGGGAAAGAAAGACAAGAAAGCCAACAACAGTGCGCTCGCCGCAGGGGGTAACATGGCTGAGTCGCGATCGAAGCCCCAAGCTAAGAAGGGGTTGGCAGAACGGGGTGTAAACGCGCAGACAGAAGCGCAGTCGGCTGAGGGGAAGCCGTTTGGGGGCATGGCGGTGCCCGTTTAAAGTGGATTGTGAATTGCATCGTAGGAGTTGATGGAAATAGCATTTAAAGGCGTTGAAATAAGCATATACCCCTTTTTGGCTCTAGGGGTGAGGAGGTAAAGAGCATTTGTATAGACATCTACAGTTTCACGGTTCAGGTTAAGCTTGCGAAAAAAAAAAAAACAGGCTTAGTGACACTTCGGATGGCTAAGAGTAGGAACGCGCATAGCGAATTTAAGAGTCATGATGACAAATGCTTCAAGATCTTTATTCAGCCGATTCAAACATTTACAACCCTTCATCTACCCTTCTTATTTACGAATCGCCAGCTAGACTTTCTTACCTTGTTTGAGTAAATCAGACACTTTCGGGGGTAACACCAACGTAGTCCTATCGTTACGCTTGTGGAAGTCCACGAGAGATATCGCGATCTTTTCGGGTAAGTCTTCATGTATGAAATGTCCTGCCTCGGGAAATACCTGCAGGGCATATTTCCCTGCCGTAGGAAACACGTCAGCTCTGTACAACCTCTTCGGACTCGAATCAACCAAGGGGGACACGAACCTTGCATTTGACCGATTGTTAACTCCGTGTCTAATCTGTCCGTGCCTGCGAGGAGTAATAGCTTTCCGCCTCTCGCACTCAGGAACTTCTGACTTAGCCCTGTGAACCAATTCTCCCAGAATGGCTCTGTCGCCCCGAGATCCGTCCTCCACTTCCAGGGTCTCGGATCACCCGGGGCTCCACTGAGTTTCAGCAAGGATGGGACGCTGGTACGGGCGGAGAGCGAGTTACGAATTGTTCTCGATTTAAGATGCCAGTCGATCCCTTCTTCTAAGGTTGTGAAACCAGTCGGTCGTGTAGAAAGGTAAGTGTTCATGCTCTTCAAAGCATCAACGGCTGAGCCCTCGACTACGTCAAGGACAACATATCCTAGTAATGAACTACTAAGCTTTCCCGTCTTGGCCACTTCTGTCACGACCGCACCTCCCAATGAGTGTCCGACTAAGATAATGGGTGGTAACTCTGACCATTTCATTTCCTTCTGTGTTAGCAGTATGGCTGAGAGTAGGTCCGCGGCAAAGACCTCAAGGCTCAGACCGATTGCTCGGTTGTCCGGAGGTGTCGTTGTTAAGCCATGACCACGGGCGTCGAGTGATAGGATGCCAGCCGACGGAAGGCGTTTCCGAATCTCATCCCCGACTAGAGCGAAAGAAAGACCCGACGAACCAGCACCATGGTGCATGATAAACAAAGGGCCCTTTCCAACAGGAGACGTTAGGTAGGCATGGATGGTAGGGTCTGTAGGGCTACTTGGATCGTGGAGGAACAGTTCCCGCTGGAAATAAGTAGTCCAGGGGATCTGCTGGAGAGATCGTCCTCTCGGCGCGCTGTGTACCAGAATCAGCTGCCGTGGAAATGAGCGCATACGAGTTGAGAGGAACTACCCCTGTGGTCTAGCAAATAAGTTCTGGCTTGGAGAAGGGATGACGGTTCCCGTGGAAGAAGCTGAGGATGCCGAGGATGAATCATCGTCGGGGTGTTCTGGAAGCTCCGGAACCTGGTCAGCCTCATCTTCGTCCCGCTCATCGAAACTCTCGGGAGGTAAGGCGGCTAGGCGGTTCTTGGCCCAGGCCCTCTGAAGGTTGCTCATTATGAAGCGGCTGCAGCTGGGTGGGTAGTTGGCTGCCCAATCGTCGTCACATGAAAATGAAATAAGACGGTGATCAAGTATATGCAGGTCATAATAAGGGGCAACTCGAATAACTGCAATTATTCTGTCCGAACCTAGGCACCATGCCCACTCAAGTAAACTTGCGATCGTAGGGTAGGGAGGATCTACTTGAAGAAATGGGTAATGATAGGAACGGTTGCTAGTGTATGATGGATGTGGTAGAGGCAGAGGTTGATAAAACAAAGGAGTATCCCACTTTCTTAGTGGGGGGAGGGTAGCCAATCTAATGGTTCCACTACCATTTGACATCACTCTTTCCCCACTACGGTTGACCAGACAAGGTATTGTGCC